CCTAAAGAAGAATTGCAACGCAAACAATTCTTGGATGAAAACTGTTCAATTGTATTCTTAAAAAGTGAAACAATTACTTTCGAAGAACAACCAAAACGGTGAGCATTTAATTCATTATTAGAACTGTCATGTCGAGGTAACTTATTCCGAGTACCAACATTTTGAAGGTCAATACTATAAATGCTATTGTTGCCCGCAGAATGGAAAAATAAGTCTTGTTTTGAACGAAGAATTGCAGAAGAAAGGTACACATGAGTACATTTGGTTTAAACAGCCTACGTTGAACAATCTTCTCCACTGAACTGTATCAAATTTCCTAGAACAGACTTGATGATTGAAAAATGGTAATGTTCCTGAAGTACAATGATGTGATTTATGAAGATCCGTATTGATACTAATTTTTCAAGATCATTCGTAGAAGGGACCCTTAATTTTGCTTGTGGGAAGCAATGTTCAACATGTAGGGCAAGATCATTTATTAGAATTAAACCACCAATACAGGTAATTCGATACACCATTGTGCTGTCACATTAGAATCTGTAAATGGGTTAGATGTAATGTTGTAAGAAATCTTACCCACATTACACGGGAAAATATGTCTGACCACTCTAACTCTTGACACTCAATTCACATTGAAATAATTTTACTGTTGCGTTAGAAGTTTGACATCACGCTTCATGAATAAATTGTTGTGTCATCATGTTATCGAAGGATGACGAGTTGGGTTNCACACGGGAAAATATGTCTGACCACTCTAACTCTTGACACTCAATTCACATTGAAATAGTTTTACTGTTGCGTTAGAAGTTTGACATCATCAAAATTAGAACGCTTCATGAATAAATTGTTGTGTCATCATGTTATCGAAGGATGACGAGTTGGGTTGAGCCACGAACAAGTAGTGGGGTGCACCAGGGTTGGGACCCAAAGGACATGTGACTCATGCTTGGTGGCTGAGTTTTGAAGATCAATGCAACTACTACCAGACCATGTTTAATCAATCACTCATGAACCACACAGTACTGAGACCCCAGCTAATTCATTGGATTCTTGATGAAGATTTTGATCAATATAACTGGCTTTGGTTTTTGAAGGGAGAGATGAGATTTTATAGTCAATCAAGACATCAAATTCTTATGGTTTTTTTGGAACAAAGTTTCTAAATGATTCAAAGAGATAAAACAAGGCAATAGCAGCACCATCAATAGTAGTTAATGTCCTTTTCTGTTTGTACAATTCTGGGAACTTAGTATCGATTTCTCCAAATATCTGTAGAACCACAAAGTCACCAAATCAATAATATCAAGGTCTAATCTCAGTTATCTGGCATAAGCATAACCAATCTTTCATATAGGACCACAGATAACAACCTCAATTATTTTGTGCCATTTCTTTGATTTGATTGTACAATCAAAGCCATGCTTTGAATTGTTTTTTACCATAAAAAAAGAGATAAACAAATTGAATTGTTTTGACCCGTGACTCAAGATTATCCCTTTGGACCTGTGGTCTGGACCTATGATACATGAAGTTATAAGGATATTCTTATGATTTCGCCGTTTATGTCTTTATTGGCGATCTTTGTGTGCATGTTTCTCTCGCTGTGAGAGAACTGTTGTATTTCGAATTAATAACCTTTATCTTCCAAAATAATTTTCTCTTATATTTTCTTTATTTATTTCCATGATGCATACAGTTCCTATTCCTTTTTTTCTCCATTGATTAATCAGACAATGCCATACAGATTTCTTTGTCTGCAGTATCTTATGTCTTGAAATATGGCATATATATTCAAAACAAGCTCATACCATTCATTCTCCACTACCCTAGAATATATGGCATTTACCATCTCAGGCAAAAGAAAGATGTTCCTTTCAAGACAAAGTATCTTGTCTCATAAACACAGAGTGTGTCATTATTTATACGCTATATATATATGTGTGTGTGTGTGTGTGTGTGTGTGTTAGTGATAAAATTCTTTTATTGTGATATAGGTGTCAAGGGTTTTAATCACAAAAATAACCTCTGTGTTTGCAAGTATAACGGTATACATAACGGTATACATCTGTCACTGTTTAAACTCTGTAGTAAAGAGAGTTTCGAGCTCGGTGCTCCACTATTTTTTAGTTACGCACCGCAGATATTTGTTGCAGGATCCCTTGGTGAACTCTTCTAGTTGTTCTCTTGCCTGGGACCAAATCGACGTCGGCCACAAGTTGTGACACATATATATATATTGACATTGAAAAAGGCTAGTTTAGGTGCTGAAGATATCATAATCAACAATTATATAAAAAGAATCCAAATAGTATAACGCACGAACCAGAAAAAAAAAAAAAAAAAAAAAA